CAGTGCACCCTTCAATCAGGATGGCCGCCTATATCATGTCCTACATTGGTAGTAGTCGCCAGGTCAGAGCTCCATCGCAATCTGCACAAACAATGCTGGCTCTTGATGAATAAACTTCACCAAGGCTGGAGATGTTTGATTGATAAACCAAAAGTTGGGTTGTAGAACCTCTTCATTCTATAAGTGTTTCATAAAGTGTGTCATTTAAAGAGTGTCTATTAATCAACAGTCAATCCTGTAAATCTCCCCGCCAGGTTCTTCATAGTCACCTCTAATTACGGTCACAGTGTCTCTCTCCCTCCCCCATGTTGAACCATAGTGAGCCTATGTTGAATATTTTTGAACCACAGCATCCAGTTCAAGAACCTTGGTTCATGTCAACAACCTGGTTCAGGTTCAAGTTTGCTTCATGTCCTCGTGTTCCACACATCTCCACTTGTCTCAGATTCTGCACCCCCGCTGTCCTTACGCCACCCCCACGCCTGCTCGCATGAAGTCCTCGGAGGCGCAGCTGCTCTTGGCGAAGGCCCACAAACCTCCGCGGTGGGTCTTCCGCCGCGCGGCGCGGAACGCGACAAGGATGGAGAAGAATGATCCTAGCTACTAGTAGCTTCTTGTTACTAGTAGCAATGGCCTCCGCGTAACCGCGTCCTAAGATGCTTTGGGATGCCTAGTAAGCCAGGACGCTATTAGGTGGAGGTCATTCCTACTAGTAAACAGAAGCTACAGTAGCAAGGCTTAAGGCTGCAAACGGCGACATGGCCCCACACATTGAAATCTAGATTCTTTCGCATCGTTCGAGGTTCGAAACTGAACCAAAGAGAACTGCGGCATTTTCTCTTTGATGACTCCATTTGTGTGTAGAACAGTTGGTGTTGGTGCCTTCAGTGATCCAAATGGATCTCCGGTCGTCCGGTTTCTGCTGTCAGGCCGCGCGGCCACCGACCATAACTTGCCCTAGGTTCAGACCCGGCATCATACGCTGGAAGATCGTCTATAAGGCCATGGCAGGCCATGGCCATGACAGCCATGACAAGGCACGCAGCCATCAATGGACCCTCCATGCCATGGGTCAAAATACCAAGGTCTCCTGTCATTTATCCTACCACATCCATTCTGACATGTTTTGCGACCATGAACTTAATGCAGGACGCCAGCTACAATCATCATCATTCATCATCAAAGCGATGCCTGCACCCTCGTGATCCGTTCTTAAAAGACCGTTTCACGCGGCACCATCACTGGGTCATCCGAACCGAACGGCACTCCGTCACCGGGTTGGCGCGCGTGGGCGCTGCACACCAAGGTCGGCGCCGTTCACCAAGGTCTGCGCTTGAAACTCCCAGGTGCGGTGCATCACCTCGCAGCCGGGTGCTGCGAGCCACTCGGAAGGAGGGGGGAAAGGGGGGAAGGGGCCAGGGGGTTTCGAGAAGGGCGGAGAACATGGGAAGAGATGGGCCCTTGGGGAGCCAAACTCAAGACAATGGCTGCTTGAGGAGGAGAGCAGCACAAAGAGGAGTCAGTGATGGAAGGCTTTAAAGTTCGTGTGATCAGGATATTCGTTCACACCTTCATGGCAAGCAAGGGGGCATGGACATGCACTAACTAGCCCTAATCACCCTAATCGAAGCGGTTTGCTTGGAAGAAGCACTCCTCCAATCCACGGCCGCTTCGCATCCCTCTAGCAATCGCGTTTTCTCCCGTCGCACCGTCGGACGGTAACACCTCCCCTGCTCGGCTCTGCTCGGCTGGCCTCTGCTGAAACTGCACCGAAGAGGGGCTCGAAGACCAGGACGACCTCCGTCGATTCGCAGTTCGTCGGCTGGAGCTTTTTCTGCGGAGTTTTTGGCGCGCTTTGCGCCTCCCGCATGGTTGGGCGTTGATTTGCGGGGAGTTGTGTGGGAACTTTCTTGCCTTTTGAAAAGTACTTCGATACAACTGCTTAAGCGGATGTAGGCTTGCACCTGCCACTTCCATGGGCATAGGAGGTCAACCATCGTCTGAGTGAAAAGCCTAGGGCCGAGCGTCAAATAGTAAAATCATATAAAATCCAAGACACGAATCACCGAATCACACACGTGCGGGCCACGACCCGCCCGAAAGCCCCGCGAGGACTGGGGACCGCCTTGCTGAAGCCTCACACCAAGCCTGTTCCGTCGCAGCACCGACCGGGGGGCGGCCACCCGGCCCAGGTCTCAGGTGCTGGGAATGACATGCGCGCAGCCTGCGGCAGCGACACCTGCCGCACCTGGGTTGCCGGGGTCCTTATGTTAGAAAGCATGGGTACTTCGCCATGGGAAAGACATGTAAAAGATCACAAGCTTGCAGTAGCGTCACTGGCGTGTCACTGACAAGTAAGGCCACCACATGCCTCTCACAAAGATATTGGATTGCATCAGAAATAGAAGGGGGCGGACAAGCAGATAACAAAGGTGTTGAGATGTCTATATAAGTACGGTAAATCATTTCAAAAATGGAAAAAAAACACGATGTTCTCAATGGTTTGCTAGTTATTGAGGGGTCACCCAATCTCACACCCATGGCATCCCGGCCATCTCTGACGTTCACCGCCTGAGAGCTCCTGCGCCGTGGCCTCGGCACAAACCTGAGGACGCCAGGCAGCGGACCCGAGACTGAAGCCGCTGAAGACTGAGGACCCTGCTCAACAGAGAGGTTATAGATATAGATTGTACATATGAGTGCGCAAATGTAAAATACATATATATATATATATGTTGATTTCACTAAAATATACATATCCCACACTACTTACTTGGAAGTCCTTCGTGAATCAGTGAATCCGCCCTCAACTCACCCAAGTTGACCCCCCCAACAGCCGCAAGTCATCCACGTCACCATCCCTCAGCATTGTGAGTTCCGAAACCTTTCTGAGATTGCACTGAACTGCCGATCTCGTTGATGCCCACGTCTCTGCCCCTCTCCCAGCGCGAGTGGAGGCGCTTTAAGCGCCCGTCACCGGAGAGCCGTCGGCTTCACGGTCTCAGGCGGGACTGAACTGAAAGCCCTCGAGGTGTTCGAGGTTGGAGCCTCCTACTGGTGCCAAGAAAATGATATGTCAAAGTCAAAATTTTAAGGAGACATTGACCGATGAATTTGAGAAAGAAATATACTTACTTAATCGGTGGAAATCTGGGGCAGCGAATCTAGATTTGGAGAGCACATTGATCGACCATGGTGCCGATCAGCCTGACGAATGCCTGGCTCTTCCCACCCTTTCAGCCAGCTCTTGCAGTGTAACCACTACGACCCTAGAAACTGCCTCTCCACACCCGAAGGCTCCAACGTTCCCACCCGAACAGTCACCTCGAGGCTCCGAATCTACTACAGTAGAAAAGGTCATCGGATTCAGTTGCCTCTTCAGGAGCTAGCTGAACCACGCTTTCGTTGAGTGGAGCCGCTCGCAGCACGTGCAAAGCCCCAATTTCGACCCGCGCGAGCCTGCGCGGAGCACTGCGGCGCGTTAAGGACCGCCGCTGTTTGGGGTATGGCGACGCTTCTTGTCTGGAAAGTGCCGAGGTCGAGGTTGAGGTCGCAACTGCCAGGACCAACAAGACCTGTCCCTGCCCTTGGGCTGGCCGAGACAATGCGTATCTGGAACAGTGGCTCACGGGGGTTCCAAGTATGAGTACACGAAACAGAAGCCACGGGTTCTTGTGAGAAAAGGGGTCTAAAATGCTTGTACACTAAAATGCTTGACCATAGTCTTGTAAGGGGTCCATGTTTCATGTCACATTTGAGGACCAGGTCCCCCTCAAAAAGGCCGCTTTCCGGGGAATCCACGTGCTGCGCCCGGAGTCCGCGTCCGTGGTGGCCATGCACTTTGGGCCGCCGGTGGACGAAAGAAGGCGCGTCCATCCCGGAAAGGGTGACACCGGTGACACTCCCGCGACCAGCTGGGCCAAGTCTGGGTGGATTGGGAAGCCACTTCGGATTGATGCGGCTTTGCAAGGCCTTGGGTCTTTTAATACAAAAAGTAGATTTTAGAGATCCAAGGCCTATCCCCCTCACAGATCGATCCCATGGACCTGAGAATTGAAGACGACCACTTGTCCTCTACAACCCCAGTGGTCTTGGGGGTCCATGGTCCTCTTGCAGGGGCGTATACCACCAAGGCCGCCAGATGCCGCCAGTGCATCTGGGAAGTATACACCATTATACACCTATGATCACCTATGAGTGCCTCTGGAAGATGCTTCTTGTCCGGAAGTCCTCTTGCCTGACCTTGTTTTTCCACTCAGCCCAATGGTGGCAACTCAGCCCAACTCAGCCAAACTCATGGGTCCTCAAGTCGCCTCAGGAACCTAAGAAGCGCCAGGGAAGATCGACTCCCTCCCTAAAGGATCACCGAAGCCTCCAAAAGGGTCACTTGAGAACCAGCTGGACTCAAGAGGCCAGGTGACCTGTGGCGCCCTGTGATGGCGCCCAGCGCGGACTGGGTGAGACCAACGAGTCGGGAGGTCGGGAGAAGGGCCAATGGAAGGCTCCCCCTTCTTGGTGTTCGCCGGCTTCCCCATACATCGCAACATGAGAGAAATATTAATAAAAGGAATGATAATGAAAATCAATAATGAAAAACAATGAAAGCATCCCCCCTCACATGACTGAAGTGTCGACCCCACTCGCCACACCTGCCATCCCCGAACCACCCTGCTCCCCACCACCAAGAGACGGTTTCTGGCGACACCGCAAAGGGCAGCGTTGCGCCAAGGGCGACCCGGACATGGTGCCCCAAGGCACCTGGAAGAAAGGTCTCGAGAGAAAAGAACTGGTTCAGAGTCCAGAGTGCAGCTCCAAAACAATAGCATGGTAAACTCCTTCGAGAATGGCTGTGTTGGAATGCCTGTGGGGTTCCTGTGCCAACCACTATTCCACAAACCCCCAAGTGGCGGATTTTGGTGGCGAGCTCTCAACCCTCAGCCTTCCTCCGTCGATTTCCTGGGTCCACTCTCCTCGCCCTCTGCACCTCCGCCCAGCTCCTCTCAGGCCAGTTGCCCGCCCGGGCTGCCCATCCCTCCGCCGCGGCGGGGCATGGTGCCCATGCCAGCGCCACGGCCTTTCGGTCCGGTCACGGCGGTCAAATGCTAGCAGTATAGACCTCAACCTCCCAAACGCCGCATCTAGCAGCACCGGCAGCCAAACAAAGGGGCAGTGTCCACTTCCATGAATTCTTGAAGAGAGGTTGGTCCAATTCTTGGAGGCGGCAACGCAGGGTCTTGAACATCACCAGGGCAGCAGAAACCCAAGGGTCTTCCCTCTAGTGTGCAGCATGCAATTCTACTTAACCTGGGGCCATGCCATGCTAGATATATCAGCATGACAGTCCAGCACATTCCTCGTCTATAACTTGCCCCTTCAAGGCTGGCAAAAAGCTCACAAACGCTAGATTGCTGGATCCACTGGCATCCAGCTCTCCCAGGCTGTCATCTGCACAACCTCACCACCCGCGGCTATTTTAGTTCCCCCGCCTGGCGGGGAGTATTGCGGCGAACCCCCCGGCGAGGGTGCATTCGGCAGGTTGAAGCGTGGCCCATTCGGCAAGGCCCTCAGGAAGAAGAACACCGTGGAAGAAGGTCCAGGGACTTCCAGGAGGAGGTGGACAGTCGGGGGCTCACTCCCAAACGTCGCAGTCCCTCAGCCTGTCGTTCCTCAACCCGGACCAAACCAGCACCAAACCAGCACCGCTGACGTGCAGGCAGCTCGCTGGGTCCCAGCTAGGGAAGAAAGGCTTCGACCCGGCGCGGCCACGGCGGACTCGCTGGCCCCCTTTCTCCTCCTCAGGTGTTTCCTAAGAAGTAAGCAAACTGTGGCGGGGGAATGAAAGCAAGGACAGACCAAATCATACCACCCGCCAGTCCAACAGTTGGGGCACCGAGCTGGGTACAGAAGAGCCGGGTACGACTGCCACCCTCCCTGTTCCTTGGCCCGAGGTGCATCCCTCCCATGGGCGGCCCACCAAAGCTTTGAGGCCTCGAAGGGCCTTGCATCTGCGAAGGTCCTGGAGCGTGGAGCGACAGTTTGGTGCGTTTGGCACATCTGCAGCGTCAAACATCTGCAGGGGAAGTCAAGACGGGAGAGGCCACTCAAATCACCATCACAAGCAGGAGTAGTCTTCAAGAGGGCTCAAAAAGAAGCGTTGGCCAGAAAAAGGCTGCCTTTCTGCGTTTTGGTGCCATGCCGGTCCCATCATCACAGGTGCATCGCGGTAGGACACTGGTGGCTGGTTGAGCGTCTGCAGAATGTTATCCAACTCCTGCAGCACCCGAACCCATCAGGACACAGGTGGCTGGTTGAGCCGCATTGGGGAAACTCATCCCGCCCGGGGTTCTGAGACGGGTACCACTTGTTTTCATTCCTTCGGGTCACACCACCGAGGCGTTTGTTGGACCATCCGGTCGCCTCATGAATGGAGCCCTACTCGGGATGAAGCAACGCGCATATCATATGTCTCTAAGTCAAATGCGAATGTCCCGAAACTTGCGAAAGATGACCCCCCCCAATGAGCCAAGAGTCTTGAACAGAATTGACATGAAAATCCGTGTACTCTTTGGATCCATTGGGTTTAAACACCGGATGCGATGGTTTTAAGCACGCCCTCGTTTTCAGCCAGAAACCCTGGACGCTGCGGCACACGCCATGTGCCCTCCTTGGCCACGGCCTGCGATTGGTTCTGGAGTTCGGCGGAGCTCATCAAGTGCCTTGGACCAGAACACAAAGAGGCTCGACCCTTCGGAGGAGACACGGACCACGCATCCGATGTGGGCCACGAGACCCTTTTTGGCACATCGATGTGGGACACCATGTGGGTCCACGGAAGAAGTCGCCTGCCAAGTCCTCATATGGCATGCTCATGCAAAGACATCGTGACCATGGAAGCGCCACGAGCTGTGGAGACCCAGCTGCCAGGCCACTTGACGGGAAATCATTCGGGCAGGACACACCAACAGCGAGGGTGCACGAGCTGATAAATGGCCCTCAGGGCTGAAATCACGAAGTAGACAACCTCCAATCTTGGTAGACTTGCCTACTTCTCCTTCTACTTCTTCCTCTCCTCCTCTTTACAGCACCTCCCACGCGTTCACCGCCATTGCTGTTCAAGCCACTTTTCGGCCAGCTGACGATGTTCATCCAGGCCTCCGAAGCTGTCCGCCAGCGCGCCCTTTCCACCTCAGCACCGCGACTGGCGCAGGCAATCCAGGGTGATGATTACATGTGGCGATTTCCGGATGTCGCTAGTGGCCACTAGTTATGGAAACCCTGTTGTTGCAAAGCCTTGCGCAAAGATCACGGTTCTTCAACCAACTCTGGATCCGGGTCTCCAATCAAAGGTTGACTTTTATAACTGAAACGGGCACGGGAATCGAGTGGTTCCGGCCCAAAACCATGGATCAAGCATCAGGTTGACGGTTGACACAGGAAAAGCCTCATACAAACATCCGAACCACAAAAATGCAACCCCCACCGACACCCTGATGCCCAAGCCATAACTGTATAACTATAATGAATAACTTATATAATGTGTGGCTCGCATCCACCCAAAAAAAACACCCAGCTGGTCCAACTGACCAAGAATTCCTTCGCATGTGTTTGTCTCACGCGTGGGGAGGGTAGTGACACGACAAGTCCAAACCATTCACCCATCCAGTCCCGGGATGGACACCTCCAAGGCCTTCCTTAACCCCCCCGGCCCCCTGGGGGCGCGCGGTTCGCGGCGCCTGCGAACATCTCCTCCAGCAATTGATGCATCTGCTGCTTTGTGACGTCGTGGGCGCCATGCTTCTGACCCACCTGCACAAGCCGTGGGAGCAAGAGAGGCGTTTGATTGGCGCGTCTGTCCTGCTGTTTGTCTTTCTCTTTCTCCTTCTCATTCTCCTTCTCCCTCCCCCTCTCCCTCTCCCTCTCCCTCTCCCTCCCCCTCTCCCTCCCTCCCTTGCTCGCCCTCCCTCCCTTGCTCGCTCGCTCTCTCTCTCTCTCTCTCTCCCTCTCTCATTCTCATGGTTGTGTTTTCTGATGCCTCATCGGGGAACATGTTGCAGAAGATACTGTGAAATACTCGCAGGTTCCTTAGGATTCCTTGCTTCCTTCTGTCCTTCCTGCCTTTAGGGAATAAGTGGCCAGTTTTTCCGCCTGCAACCTTCCAAGTTCCCCTTCCAAGTTTGTTCTTGAGAAAGCTTGAGGAGACTCTTGAGGAGCTACAATGTAGATAAGTAATTACTTACACACATTATGCCAGCACATGAGGTGGCACAAAAACGACGAAGATCATTGCAGTGGAACAGGGTTGAAGATTGTGCCAAATTCTTCCAGCGATCGAAGTGGAGGCACTTCGCCTGTGCCAAAACAGCACTTCGAGGGTTAGAACGAATCCCATCTGCAGCCGCCCAACCAAAAAGTGGACCCTCGCTGCATCCGGAACAAATGTGACCCGCCTCGGCCGCTTTGCCGGCCAGCATGTTGCTGTTCCCCGCGATGTTCTCCAACATGTTGTGATACTCCTTCCTTAGGGGCGGGAGATGGCAAACGTGAAATGATCGAAACCGAATGCCTTAGACCTGGGCAGGTCACGCCTACACCCTCACGTTCTACGCCCACACCCCTCAAACCTAGTGTAGGTCAACCCGTTCGATCTATAAACCGCTCGTACTCCTCAAACCGCTTTCTTCGAGACCAAAGGCTTCACCACGGCCATCCGATGGACTCGGGACCGAACTCCCAGGAGTCCAAGGGGTGTGCCGACGCGTTGAAACGCCCATCCGTTGAAACGCCCATCCGTGGCACCAGGCTGCTGCAGTGTGTGAAAGAATGGCTGCTGGGGTCAAGACCAGCCATAAAACGATCAATCTCAGAGGGCTCCACTGCTTAGGAACCTCCATTGGACACTGGACACCCATTGGATGGTGCAGGTCCTCTTTTCACCTGTCACCTCTGCCCAGCAGTCCCCCGTAACCAGGCAGAACGCCCTTGTGACTCACCATGTTCACAAAACGAAATGCAAGCTCATCCATAGGAGCAGAAACAAAAATACCTGTTGCCAAGCACCTTGCGCGAACATGAAACCACCAACAGAAAGAATCCTTCTTGTGAGAAGGCTCCTCGATGAGAACGCACAATTCTCACCGAGAAGTGTTCAAAAGACTTGATGTCTGTGAGACTTTGTGGCGTTTCTGCGAGGCCTGTCCTTGACTCTCCGTACTCTCAAGAGAGCAGCCTTTAAAAAGGGCATCGCTTCCAATCACTCTGACATTCCAAAAGGGAGGCTGTCTACGGAGTGTCAACCACCCCACCTGGGTGGTCAACCATCTGGTCGCAGAAGATGCTCCAAGCGGCTCTTTGCCTAGTTGGAATGCCAACAAATCGGCGCAACGAGCCAACTCCCCACGGTACAGCAGGATGTCCTAGACGCCCCCCGGTGCGGAACCAGCCGGAGTGGATGGAAATGGCTGGATTTTGGACTCAGTGGAATTCCAGCTGAAGATCGAAAAGCATGGCCCAAGATGGCCCAAGATGGCCAGGTTTCCCTAACTGGTTGCTTTCCGGCTGCTTTCGGATGGATCCTTTTCTGGGAGACCGGAAGGCTTCCGCATACGGGTCGACCCGCGCACCGATGCACCACCGAGGGATGCGACTGCTGTACCAACTCTGAGGCTACATATATGACATGGACCGTGAACATGGACTCCTGTTATGCAGGCTATTCTCATCCACCCAGCGGTGTTCAAGGTCCATGTATGCCAATGTTGATGTATGATAATATGTCTGCAGTGGTGAGGGGGTAAACCTTGAGGCGAGAAGTAAGACCTTCCACGAGTGAATGGTCCTGATCGACGCACCACCTGATCGACAGCCCAAGGTCGAAAGCCCGACTCCATGTGGAATTTGGAGTGTAAAACCTCATGTCGGAGCTTTACAAATTAAGATTCTACAAAATGTCAATTTACAGGAGTGAGAAGGAAGCTTTGGCGACACTGATTCCCGAAGCCAGTTCAGACTCTAGAGACGACTCCATTATACTCATTGTTTACTCCATTTATCTCCATGTCATGTCGGCGTCCACTTAGACAACGCAAAATGCAACCATTGAACCATCGTCCTTGGACATCTGCGTGACCTCACGCTCAAACTCGATGCAAAGTTGATCCACAATCTGAGCAGTGCGGACACCGTCCACGGATCGAAACGGCCAACTGAGCAGGCGTCTTTTCCACGCCAGAAGAAGCCCGCCAAGGAGGAGCCAGCGACACACCATCCAAAGAAGATTAACATGGGGGGGAAATTCGCATCCATCGTATCCCTTGAGAGCTTTAAAACTCACTACAAGAAGTGGCACAAGCATTGAGAGTCCAGTGGATGGATGGAAGAAGTCCCCAATCAAGGTCGAAACATGTCGAAACAAGACTCTCCGGCTTGAAATCAAGTGATCCCTAGCCTTCTCCTAGACTGCTGGAAAACGGTGGAGCCGGGTTTTATCGCACAGAATCCTTAGTAAAACAAAGGTTGTTTGGAATCGTGGCCCCATGGCAGGTGCCCTCACAACGGTGTGCTCCGCTGCTGGAAGCTGGTTTGGAAGGTGGAGACCCATCCCTCAAACCCCAAGGCTGGGCTCTGCTCGCAATGGACGAGGTTTTTGGCTCCTTGTTGAGAACCAAAACCTTCAATCCCTTCACCTGAAATCACCCGAATATGGCCCCCCGGAAGCTGTTGCAGAAAACCCGAACCTGTTTGGGCTTGACTTGGATTTCTACGTGGTCTGAAAAATTCATAAGTCGTCCCACGTTACAGGGAAGACAGATGGAGACCGTTGTGCGTCAACCAGGCGGATTGAAATCCACCAAGTCTCATTTCCCCCTCCCACGTTAGCCCAAAGGTTCAGAATTTAATTCCAAGAGCTTCAGCCCTGTCAGCCGGTCCAGACCACCGCCCACCTGACTGTGTGGCTTTGGGTGAGAGCTGGTGACGCAAGGACCCGGATTCTGGGGGAACAATCCCAGGTTTCCCAGCAGACGGGAACCATTGGAAGCTTCGAATCGATGTGCCCAGGCGATCTTGGACACCAATCACGTGGATGCTTTGGGCGCAAGTGCTTCCCCGTGGGCCCGGATGTTCGCTTTTCTTTCGGGGGGATCACCGAGAACTGAAGGACCCATGGCCACCCGAAGCGCCTGGAGGCAGAAGTTGCGGAAGGCATTCACCTTGGGGGCCATGTCCGGCTGCTGTTGCTGCATCCTCGAGCAGAACAACCCCGGCGCAATCTCAAGGAGGGGCTGCTTCGCTGGCTTGCCTCTGTCGTAGGTGCCTAACCTTCCAAGGCTGTTGGACGGACACTATCTTTGGGGCTTTAGTTACTAAGATACCGACATGACCGCAACAAATCCAACGATAAAGCTGCAAAAAAAGAGAAACCATCAATGGGCAATGGCTACCTGGATCTAGTGTTCCCAACCCCATGGCGTTCCCGCCATGCGCGCCCGGTACAGCGCGGAGAATCAGGCGTCCTGAGAAGTGGGTGAGGTGGATTTCGCGAAGGGCAAAGGGCAATAGCGGCTGTAGGCAGAAATGGCTGTGGCCAGATCGATTGCTACCAACAAGTGGCACCGCTTCGGCCCAAGTTAAAGCCCGAAAAACAAAAAAAGAGGTGCTGCCATGGTTGAACTGGTGCTCCGTTCACCAGTTCTCATCAAGATGAGGCCGTACCAACACGCGTCACCAAGGACCAAGTTGGGATTCCTGGACCAGCACCTGTGGTCCCTTCCTGTCCCTTCGTTCCGCATCACCCTGTCGGGTGGAGAGTTCGTGGACCGAGACGTCTTCCGATGAAAATAACCATCAACGCGTCTCCAAATCATCTCGCTGCGGGGGGGAATGGCATCCTCCCATATCAAGTCTGATGAACCGCCCCAGTTTAGGTCAAGGATGCTCTCCGCCCCCCGTTCGAATGCCGGTCCCGGGGCCGCTCTGCCGGTCCCCATCGCTTTGAAGTTCGCTGGAGGACTTGGTGTATTTGGTCTGAAATGCTCAGGGGTCATTGCACCGGGGGACCTTGGCTTCACCACCGTAACATACACAGAAGAGCCTCAGGGGTCAAGAATGGCTCCGAGTGCCATGACCCATGGCCGCCATCTTGATCTGATGACCGCCATCCCAAGCCCTTCCCGCCATGGCCCGCACTGCCCTGCGGACCGACGCTAGGCCAGCCACTGCGGCAGCGGACCACGCTAGGCCCTCGAAGAAAGGGCTCTGGGCGGCCCGCAGCCTGTGGTCACAGGGCAGGGCACTGTTTCAGCCGCTGGTGCAGCCACCGTCAGATAGCAAACAGATCGAAGCGCGGGCTGTTGGAGTCAAAGAGCGCCATTCAAAAAAGGTATTAGATGAGATATGATGAGATGAAAAAGAACTTCCCTTTAGACTTCTAGGGATGGTGTTGGGTGGGCCAGAGCACCCCGTCCGAGTGGTGAGAGCCGGATCTCAGTCCAACAAGGACTCCTGATCGCCTAATGGAAGTCTTCCTACGAACTTGGTGCTAATAACAAGATCTTTGGACTGTTTCTGGGTCAGGGGCATAACCTGAGAGTCCAAGAGTCAATGACTATACAGTAAAAAGATTTGTATTTGGAGGACCTGTACTTCTCTGGGATTAGATATAGTCTTTCGGCTTCTGGGGATGAGATAGCCCTGCATCTTGCCATGCCTCATGGATGTCAGATTTCATGTGCCTTCGATGCACGCATCACCGTAGCCCCAAACACTGAGACCTCAAAGACATCCAAATAGACCATGTCACCAAGTCACTATGTCTCGCAACTTGCAACCATCACCTGTCCCGTACCAGCTGTAGGGCACCCCTTCCCAGCCCTCTTTTGTTGCTGGTCACAGCGGCGGCTTTTCGCACGCGGCGGGAATCCCATCGCCACCAGCGCATTCAGGAGCTCGGCACGTCGGGTGGTGTTGGTCCTCTATATTCAAGATCATTACCCCACTCCAAAGGAAACTTAGGGTTTTTAGGAGGCACTCTATTGTCATCTCGTCGGCTCACTCTCGCTGGCCCTTCCCACAGTCGACAAATCCAACCCCCTTTCTTGGTTGGACATTGGAAACCAGGGGTCGAACATGGGAGTGTCACACCACGAGACTCGTGAGACTCCTTCAACGCGCGGTGCGCACGGCGCCTTAACCCCAAAATCCTCCAAGGACCACGTCCTTCTGGCGAACGGCTCGAAAACAGCGCCACGGTCTCCAAGGATGGCCATTGATCGGTACACATGCGCTCGGGGGGTTGGATGATCAACAACTCTTGGTTCTTAAGTCGCTCAAAGAAGGATGTCCCGCCATGCGTTCTGTTCTACCTGGAAGGGCATCATCTAAGCATGGTACCACGTCCGTGGCCGCTCTTTTCAACTGAGGCCCATCTGTTGACCTGCACACGTCGCAGGTGGGCCACCACCACATGCATCTCCGCTCATGGCAGGGGAGCTGGTTTGGCCAGTGACCGGGTCGAGGGTGCCCTGATTGGACCTCTCTTCTGGCATAGCCCCGTATTGAAACCAAGGCTGCAGGTTCTGTGCTCCCGAAGTTGTCGCAGCATCTTCCAAGGCTTTGGATGCGGCTGGGCCCAGATTGAGGACAAAAGATACACCTCAGAGTAGAAACTGGTTGCATTCGCCTGGCCGGAATCACTTGGCTTGTTCGGCCCTGTAGAAGAGCAACGCGAAGTCCCACCCCAAGTCAGAGATGTCCCTACACTTTAGAGTTAAGAAAAGTAAATTACGGAATTACCCCCAAAAGCTCCACTGGCAAAGGCATTTCTTTCATTGATGCTTTTGAGTAGCCAGTGAGGGCATCCTCTAGTTACCAAGTGGTCCAGGCCCGGCCACGGTGGCAGCCACCGCTCGATTTTCGCATGCTTCGGCTCGTTAGGCCAAGGATTGAGCTGGAGGAAGTTTTCCACGGTCGGCGGAGGATCACTGCTGCAATGGCCACCCAAAAAATGAATGCGACGGTGGCCTACGAACCTTCCTTCGGTGTTTCTGGAGACTGATCCTGTTTGGTAGGAATTGGCTCTTTCATCTTGGTGCCGTCTATCGACTGCTTCCGGTTTTGAAAGTTGAAGCCAGGTTTGGCCGATTTCGGGGGACCATCACCACAATGACTCCAGGGTTTTCAGGATTGAACCCTTCTGCAGCATCAAGTCCAACCTCCTCACCCCCCATGCTGGTGGGATGAGCGTCGAACTGATGACGAGCGCTGCATGGCATTTGCGCTGGGGCAACGAGAGCCCTTACAGAGATGAGCGACAGACATGTATACCGCCACAGACACGTCGAGTGGCATCCGATGGAGGGCGGTTGTGGGTGGAAAAAAGGCACCAGGGCCCCCAAGGGGTGTCTAACTATAGCTCCTTAGAGGTTAAGGGGTATCCATTAACCACCCCTTAGGGAATCGTGGGCCCTAGTATGGGAACATCTTGTGAATTTTTCTGGACCACTTGCGCCGCCCTCCACTGGATCGATTGGCGACACCAGTCGTATGTGATGATTGTTGGCCGACATCTGTAGCAAAAAAGGTACCATCATCCAAGTCCTCCCCATCTCGCGAGGACCAAATCCCTGGGCTCCAGTCGCCCCACGAGTTCGGCTTCCTCCCCCACGCTCAGCCACAGCAACCTGCTTGTGAGGTACTTCCCTTGGCGCCCACCTGAGCGATGTGGGGAGAAACATCCGCACCCCGGAGCACGGAAGTCCGAAAACTCGGAGCAAAACAGGAGATCGTACACCTCTGTCTCTGTCGTACATCCCGCAAATCCAATGGTTCAGCTGCCATCCAACCAACCCAAGCTGGCTCTTGTTGAACATGCTTTTGCTTTCACTTGGCCGTGACTTCGTGCGTCTCTGACGCACCACATGGACCCGTCACCATGGACCCGTCCCGTTCCGCAGGTGGCCCGTGCCCTCGTTTTCCGTCGCAACCACGAACAGCACGGCAGTCCCAGCACACCCAATCCCGAGAGCTCCAAAGCGTCATGTGAGATGAAACTGCCATCTGCGCGGGAAAGAATGTAATGTGGAAAAGCCAACCCAATTCATCTGGTGCAGATCGCACAAATCAGATTCCAACACAGTCACAACGAACAAAGCTTCACTTCCGTCATTCATGCATGTTCATGCCTATATTATGCTATGCAGGATTGGACATGCTCTCGATGGCTTTTTGGGCATCGCCCTCATTCACCATCTCCATGGCAGCCCCACTGGTTTCAGGGTCCTCCGCGCAAGGGTCCGACGTGACAACAACGTCGGGCTTCGGGGCCCCCATCGCTGCGGAGGTGAGGCTTCTTTCTTTTCGACCCTTGAATCATGTCACCGGGCTTCCTGCCACCGGCTCCTTCAGGATCTACATAGGTGAAAACAGAATCAACAGATTGAACCAGCCTAAGGTTCCACGAGAATGCCCTTTTCGCTCTGAGGCAGTGGGATCATCGATGAATTTGACAGATTTCACTCCCACCGTGTCCGGGTCTTCACTGATGTCCAAGAAGCTTTACAGTATTTCGCAGGTTTCAACCCTCAGGATGGATGTCTCTTGATGGATGTCTTTTTGATGGATGTCTTTCACAAAAAACATTCCACCCCCCTCAGGATCAGACCTTGACTGCTTCTTCCTCCACTTCAATGGGCACCTCTTTGGGCAGCGTTGCTGCGGGTGGCTCTACCTCCTCATTGGCAGGTGGCTCGGGAGGCGGAGCCTTGGCGAAGATGAGGTTCCACTTGCCTTCCGGTCCCGGATATGGACCTCAGAGAAAGGTGGCAACTCGCAAGCCCTCGGAGGCCAAAAGCATGCCAAAAGGCAAAACCGCTTGGGGGAAGACCTCTCGGGCTCCTGAGGTGTGCGTGGGGGGGGGGGTCGACCTGACTCATCGGAGAAGACGGTGACATGGACACGTTGGTTCCGCCAACGCTAAGTTGACACGGTGAGGTCCAGCCGATGTGGGCCATCGGACACGTGCTCATGAGCCGATCCCAACGGGGTTGGCCGGGAATGGCCGGGACACGGTAACGGAGAAAAGCAACGGCGGGGAACGTGGATGGCCTGTTGGATGACCACTGTGACGTGGAAGGCCAAACTGACTGGGTTCTCATGGGTTCTCCACTTCCATGGGCAACGTGACAGCTTGAGTGCCCGGACTCTACCACGAATGATCCTCCATGATGTGGACCACTTTTTTTTGGGTGACCGGGCGACTCTCTCCTGCTCCGCTTTCCAAAACGGATGCTCCTCTATAGACTCTATACCAGCACCTTCAAGCTGGAAGCCCCTACTGCTGATGGATCTCCATAGGACACCCCCTTGGAAAGTGGAACCTGCTGGTTCAAAATAAAAGCTTCTCCTGCAGGACTCGAGGAGCTATCATGAAAGGTGACCGGGCCATCTCCATTGTTCTCAGCCACCAAATACTTGGCCTTCTCGCAATCCGTCTTAATCTCGTAGCCCCGGCCCTGGTGCACGAAGCTCCATCGGTCGTTGCAATCATCGGAGAGATCTTCAGCCCGCAGGTGTTTGATCATGTCAAAGCCCTTGTCCGGATTGGCGGAGAGATAATTGAATGTTGGCACACTTTGTCCATCAGCACGCATCATCTCGCCTTGCAAGTAGGTACTTCCAGCTTTCTCAACTCCTTGCCAAAAAGCACGCCTCCATTGCTTCTTCTGTATGATCGTGAGAGCATGGCCACTCTCAGTATCATTCTTGAAGGGCTCAGGCATCTTTTCCTTGCACGAATTGCGTGCAAGAATTTGCCCTCCTCCTCAGTCTAGTCTAGGCATTCCTCGGCCCTTAGACTCCAACTAGACTAGCAAGACTAGCAAGTGGTGACTCTTCTGCAAGACTAGCCATGGAATCATAACATGCATGCCGCAATGCATCCACTCTCCACCCAAAAATTGGAAAACAAATCACGGCCACAGCGTCCTTGTTCGGCAAACTTGCCATATTGCTATTCAGCGGATCGGTCTTCGCTGCCTCTTCGTCCAGGGGGGGCTTCTCCTTCCGACATCTGCAGGTTCTTGGACGCAACAACGATCCGGGCCTAAACTCAACACTCCATGAGTTTGAAGAACAAAAAAACCTCCCCAGGTCGCTCACTCCCATGCCATTCGCGGGTGTGGCTCGGGCTCAGCTCCAGTCCTGCAGCAGGAAGCGTTTGGAAGCGAGGTTCTGGAGCATGAAGGGCTTCCTTGCTTCGGACGTGGGGTGAAGACGCGCCGCAGTCAGCGCGTCTTCACCCAGCGGAGGTGCAAGTCGCGGTGGGCAACGCGGTTCGATCTATGCCTCCATGTATACCTCTGGAAAGCCTAGTGTGCCTCAGAAATCGACGTCTCGCAGATGTTGGTCCGGCTTTCCATCTACCAATGGGTCAGCTTTCCACACCTTCTTGTCCACATTCCAGGCCACACCCTCTTGGAACCATAGCCTCCCACAAGCCCCGCACTCCAGGCCAGAAGCCCAACCTCCCGCTCGTCCGAGCGGCTTTGGCACCTGGGCCGCCAACTCCTCGGGGTCCATTTTCGCCACGTCCGCCTCGGTCAGGTTCCAGATCTGCCGATCCTGCTGCCTTGGACCGGCGCGGAGGAGGGCGCCGGTTGGGCCCCACCGCGGACAAAAACGGCCCGGTGTCTTCTTCCGGTCGCCCTCCAAAATGAAGAAAGCTGGCAGTGATGAGATGGTGAGGATTGGTCTGAAAATAGGTGACCCGGAGAACCATGATGAAACCCCAGCCGACTGGAACAAACATGATGCAACTCAATGCCCTCTCTACTTCCAAGAGCCGGCTCAAGCCGAGTGGTTGGCGGCCCATTTTGGCGGAGGGCGCACCCAGCTCACGATCACCAGGCGGTCGATGCGGTCCTGAATGCTACGTCCTAAAGTTCTAATGGCAAACTCGCGTTGAGTATACTTGGTGGTACCCTCCGGGCAAGGATCAACAGCGCCATCTCTCCTGTCATCTCAAGCCTCCTCTGGGTAAGGCGTTCACCATCCAGCACCACCCCACCCCATGCGCCCATCCCAGCGGCGTGTCGTACTCCTCGGTGAACTTCAGGGTGCCGTCGGCTTCGCGCGTGACGAACTTGGGCACCTGCCCGCGCGGACGACTGCGCGCGTGCGTGCTGGTGCGTGCAAAGGACCGCCGAGTATCGGAGGTTCAAAGGGAGGAGAGGCCGAAGTCCCACCCCTCGCCTAGACGAGGGAAGAGTCCCAATGGAATCCAACTCGCTTTTAAAGCCAGCAGGGCTATCGCAAGCTTCCGGTGCAGGCGACGAATGTCGTCGTCCATGAGACCGGTCGAAACCAATGCGCTCCATCGTCTCGAAATGTACCGAGGGGAGCGATGAAACAAAGAAACAACGGAGGGGAAGAGCAAAGAAAGAGGAAAGGATCCTCGGCCAAAAACAAGAAGCTTCCAATTCACATCTACCAGTACCTTCACGGTGTCTCACGGACACATACGAACACCTACCACATGGATCTACGACCTGAACGTGGAGCATGGGTGGAACAGAATCCCTTTGCGCTGCAGCCCGACCTCCAGTTCGCTAGAGACGCCTCGCTACGCGAAGGAGACATTTGAAGCCAGAGGTTCGAAGATGTTCTGGTCGCCTAAGGGTTCTTAGCCGTCTTCGCCTAAGGTTTGGACCCAAAATCGGTTCTCTCAGGTCGGACCGTCTCGTCTCAAGTCGGACCGTCTCCGCCGGGACGGTCCGCGCCAGTAAAACAAAGGTGCCACCTTTCGTGAGCTCAAAGTGTCTGGAAAACCTGCCTGCACCAGTTGCAGGCTGCGATCCATGGAGGTAGGAGTTGGGTGCCCAGCTACTCCACTCACTGGATGGGACTAAACAACACCCCGACATGTGACTCCTGGATATGATAAAATAGAATAAAGAGTAATAATATGTATATACACCCGGGAAGAGGTCCACATAGAACCTGAAAACCACTGGGTTGTAGAGGAAAGTTGACTTCCGAAGGTCCATTTTCAGGTTCCATGTTAATCTTCCTGGGTGTAATAATCAAGGAAATCGTAAAGTAAGATACATACGTAAGATGATAATGGATGAACCGTCACAGGCACCATCCGGGCAGTCATTGAAACACCTCAACACCCCGTGCGAGCCTTTAAGGCTCCCATGTCCTTGAGTTCTTTCCTGAGCGTGGGTTCGGCACACTTCTGCGAAAAGCCACTGGAGTGCCGGGTTTACCGTCACAATGGGTGGCTGCAGGTATCACTGGAGCGGATTCATGGCTTTTTCATGGAAATGTCGGAAGAACTTGGCACATCTCTGTGAAACTCCACGCCATCCATATCATGTGCCAGCAACCCCGGCACTTCAGGCGACCTGTTTTCTAGAAATTCTCTGAGCCCACACGTACAACACACACAGGAAGCCACGAACTAGCCGCTAGGCCGCTATAGGCGTTTTTCGCGGGGGGGTGACTTGGGCAGACCATCTGGCACCCGTGCCAAGGAGGCACCTCGTTCCCAAGCCCCTTACAAAGTAATTACGCCTCTTGCAGTGGTTTCAGAGTAGATGGCACAGACCTCAAGATGTCCTTTAGATGGGGGTCCATATAAACCACCTCTTGGGGTCTGTGCCATCTACTCTCAATCCACTATACCCCTCTTGCAGAAGCTCCGGATCTTCCCCCCCCAGGGATTCACTCACGACTGGCTCTAAGCTTCGGTGAGCTCAGGCCGCCACAGGCGGTCTTCAGCTTCCACCCTGTGAAGGTGTTGTTCTGCGTGGCCCGCTGCAGCAACCAGCACTGATTGCAGCCCTGCAAGCTGCCGCAGGCCACGTGCAGCGGGTTGCACTCTTCCGAGATCGAGTTCGCAGAGGCCGCAGCTGAGAGGCAACCTGAGGTGCTTGGGCCGTGGGTGGTGGCCCACCAAGTGTCGTTTCGGTGCGTCCCACAGCAACGACTGATGATTCAATCGAAAAAAACAAGTCCTGCACCACCCTGGAACCTCCAGGTGGAATCAAATCATGATTCTTGTTCTGAAGCCTCCGTCTCCGTCTCCGCAACAGTCTTGGAAACCGCCAGAAAGAGTGTTCAAGAATGCGCCCAACAAGTTGGATGAAGTTGCTGTGAAAATGCCACAAGTTTCACCCAAGAGATCCCAAGAGATCTGAACTATATATATATATAAGCCCCATTTCTGGCCCCGCCCCGCAGGTGGTTCTTCGGACCCCGACCCCGCCCGGCCCCTCGTTGGCCCTCGTTCCCCCTCGCTCCTCACCCAAGTCACGGCCATGGTCCGAGAGGACCATCGCCAAGGGCAGATTCACATGACGACAGTCACGGTCGCCCTCGCGCCAGTGCCCCTCCGGCAGCTTCTGCAAATGGGGCTCCTTCTCCCACTCCTCGGGCAGACTTGCCAGGCCGCCGTTTCGGGTCTCAGGTTTCGGGTGACTCGTGACGAGTACATACCCCACCACCCAGCAGAGGTTGAAGAACCCGAACTAGACTATAGACTATCCTATATAGATATATATATATAGGCACCCCTGGTGACGGGTCCTAGTTCAGGTCACTTCACCTCTGTAGGACACCCAGAACTTCTCAACGGCCATCGACTAGAGAGATGAGTCGTCCCGTTGCATTTCCACTGCCAAGTTGCCTCGCTCGAGTGTTGAGCACACTCCTTCCTTGGACCCCCCCGCACCGACAGCCCACCCGGCCAAGCCTAACAGCATCTGTT